GGGAAATGAGGGTGGCATTGTGTTTAGCCTCACTGCCCCATTCTGGGTTCATCAGGACTCACTTTTTTTCAACAATTCCCTTTTTTGGCTTAATACACCATGCATGTCCAATTTACTCCCTCAGCTCTTCTGGTTTCTGCACCTCTGTCATACACATGGGTGCACCTCCCTCTCCAATGATGTCAACATCCCATAATGCCTTGTGCTCCCTGTGGAGTCCAAGCTGTAAGTGCTGGGGCGCTGTAAATCAGCACATCAGCTTGGAATCGTCAGGAAGTCTGCATTTTAGGGTTACAACACCGCTTCTCCTTAAGGAGATGCTCAAGGATCATTGTCACTTTAGGACCGGAAGTCCAGGAAGTGGCAGGATCACCAGGTTGGAAAAAAAACCCAACAAAAAAAGAAGACTGAAAGAGTGACAACACTGCGATGAGTTAAGGGTAGGGTTCGGATGACTTGTCAAATGTGCAAGTATTATGACTTGGCAGAAGTGACATTTTATGGGGTTGATCCACTAAAGGGGAAAAGGCTGCTCACTTTGCCTTAGCTTAGTGAATATGGTGAAAATTCACTTTGCAAAGAATACCCAATCATGTGTAAGGAAAATAAAATTAAAAAAGAAGTGTTTTTGCTTGTACATGATTGGATGATGGAAGTCAGCAGAGCTTCACCACATTCACTAAACTAAGGGAAGACCCCCTTGTTGGGTGAACAGGTTATTGAATGCCACCCCAATGCACCTTCCATCGGGCGTGTGCTGCAGTACGGTACTGCAATACCTTGTGTTGCGGTGAGAAAAAGCAGCGTACGGTACTGTGGTACCTGTGTTTCAATGCACTGCAACACATACCCGGCAGGATGTGCAATGGGGTGCTATTAAAATGAATGGTAATGCAATGCACCAGTGGACCTAGCCTGTGGTGCATTGTGCTGTGCAATAGCCTGTGATAAACACATGGGTTCCGTGCCCTTAGTGCAAACGAATGGTGTGAACCAACCCTGAACGTCTGTATTCACCTGGCATTAGAGGTGCGTTCCAATAGATTTGGGAGCAGACACCTTTAGAGCATGCGATTAGATGTGTGAGTCCTTGTTTGTTGCATTTTCCAGTTCCAGTACAGGATAAAGAAGAACGCCAGGCAAACTTTTTCTTAACCTTTGCATTGGGCGTACCCCTGCACTGCAAGGGTTAAGTGCTCGTTTTTGTCTAAGTGCAAAAATAACAAAGAAATACTCACCTGAACCTTGGAGCTGTCCAGCTGTCACTCCAGCCACTCTCCTCCTACACTGCAATGTTGGTATACCCCTCAGTGTCCTCGGGTCCTATACACAGTGTATTGGACATGATGACTCACAGGACCTTAGACCCCTGCAGCGGAGGGGGAGAGAGGCTCCAGGGACCCGTCTCACAGCAAGCCGGCTTCAATGATCGGGTGAGAATAACTTTGTTATTTTTTTCACCTAGACAAAAATGAGCAGTTAACCCTTGCAGTGTGGGGGATCCAATTGTAAGGGTTAAGAAAACTTTTGCCCAGAGTTCTGCTTTAAATACATGGGTTTGAGAACCTCTTGTTTTTACCTTCCTACGCCATGCTACAAGATGCATGTGACAAGTCATGAAAGCTGAAGTTTTGTTGTGCTGACCTGAGTTTATTCACTGCAGGCCCATTTCCAGTTTCCAATTCCAATTCCATGCACTGCCACCTGAAGATGAAGGAGAATGTCTTATTTTCTATAGGATCCATTCCTGCTACCGTGCTGCAATGGGAAAGTGCTTCATGACCCTGTTCATGTCACATGTATGGGATCCTTCAAAGTAGCCAAAGATATCCACTATCTTGTGAAAACACATGACAATGTGCATCGCATTATGCGTGTTTTTGTGAAGCGGCCATTAATGACTCTTCATTAATGACTCTACTGCTCATACAGTGAAGACAATACATCTACAATTATACTCTGCTAACATGAATGGATTAAATGATCTGTATGTAGCCCTGTACTAGGGATCATTTAACCCATTCATTTTAGCAGCGGATAATTGTAAATGTATTGTTGCAGGCACTCTATATGTACATGTACTATATAGGACATATAGCATGCACTGCAACAATACATTTACAATTATCCTCTGCTAATATGAATGGGTTAAATGATCCGTAGTACATGATATGTAGCCCGGTACTACGGATCATTTAACCCATTCATGTTAGCAGTGCAGAATTGTACTGGACGGCACAAATGTCCCATACATTGCAGCAATAGATTAAAGGTGCCCATACACTGCTCGACTCTCGTGCGAGAATCGCAGGAAATCCCGCGATCGTACGAGAATCGAGCAGTGTGAACGGAGACGTGCGACCGTTTCTACTGTACGGTCGCACGTCTTCCGTCGAACCAGCATGTTCGAAAACCAGCCGGGAATCGTACGATTCTCGGCTGGTTAGAACGGTGCTCGGAAGACAAATGCCGAACGGGCCGGTGTGCGCACGCGCACACTGCCCGTTCAGCATTGCGGTCATCGGAAGCTGGCCAGGGGCGTGTCTGAGCGGACGTCTAAAGACGCCCGGTCAGATCTAGAGAGCTCGGGCCGGCCGTTTTTTTACTACGGCCGGCCCGGAGGAGGTTAAGAAAAAGTATCGGTAATTGGTATCGGCAAGTACATGAGGGGAAGTACTTGTACTTGGGCCTGAAAAAGTGGCATCGGGACATCCCTAATAAATACTATGTAATAATAATAATCATAAACACCAGACATCCCAACTCTCCCTGACGCTCCGGGAGTCTCCCGCTATATGATAGCGCCTCCCGGCCGCCCGGGAGATAAACATTTTCTCACGGAAAGGTTTACTCTGCTCGATCAGAGTAAACCTTTCCCTGCGATCTGTTTTTTTTTTCCTGACATCGGAGCCGCCGGCTGGCCGCCATCAGTCAGAAAAAAAAAACCAGCATAGGAATGCATTGCTAGATTGCTATTGGCTATTTCACTTTGCAATAGCCAATAAGCTATTGCACCCGCCCACTGTTGCTGTCAATCTGCAGAGGGGGACCTGAAGTTCTCCATCAGGTCCTCTTCTAGTGATTGACAGCAGCAGAGGGCGGGTGCAATAGCTAGTTTGCTATTGGTTATTGCAAAGTGAAATAGCCAATAGCAATCTAGCAATGCATTCCTATGCTGGTTTGTTTTATTCTGACGGCAGCAGCTGTTAGAATACTACTAAACTGCAGATATCGCAAAGAAGCTATTGCTTCCTGTGCTATCTGCCATCATTTCAGTGGGGTGCCCCCCCCCCCCCCCCCCGCGGATGGGGGTGGGGGCAGAGGGCACCTCCCTGAAATGAGAAGGGCACCGCCCTGAAATTGCTTTTTTCAGGTTGGGATCCCTGTGAACACAGTGTGGGGAATTTATCAAACCTGGAGCAGACAAAATCTGGAGCAGTTGCCCATAGCAACCAATCCTCTCCTCTCTTCAGTTTGTTCAGTTAAGATTTGAAAATGAAAGAGAGAAGCTGATTGGTTACTATGCATAGCTGCTCCAGATTTTCTCTGCTCCAGTTCTGATAAATTCCCCTTTCATAGTCTAAAACGCATGGCAATGCTTAAAAATGTGTTCCTTTTCAAGCACAGCCGATGTGAACAAGGATCTGATCCATATTATAGAGGACACTTGTACTGGGACAACTTCTAAATGAATGCTAGCTACCTGTCTCTGGTTTGAATACTTTGAGGGCCCATTCACACCAGTTGCGGTGCGTTCCAGAGCAGTAGCTGCTGGAACACACAGCAATCGCACACTAAACTCCCCCCTACGTTCTGGGGTGGGAGGGGGCAATGGAACCGCAGCCACGCCCCCGGCCTATAGTGCGCTTGGACGTGTGGCAAAACATGTCCTGCGTTCCGGTCCAGTTGGAACGCAAAAAAATGCTGCATGCTCTATGGAAATGTCTGCCATGCTGATCCACTGGCTTCAGCACTTCCTGGGTCACTCAGCTGGTTAAATTAACCCTGTCACCATAGCGACATAAAGCCAGCTTGTAAGAGAACCCAATGTTTACCTTTCCAGCAGACGGGTTAACCCTTTGCTGCCAGAACTTTATCTACATTTCATGCACATTTTAGGCCTAAAGATTACTTAAAGTGTAATAATTTTCCAATGGGGACATTAGTTCTGGAGAACCACCAAGGATTGATCTCACTTTGGAGGGATTTTCTGCATGCTTGTTCTGGTTTATTGACCCTTAGACCCCGTTCACATTGAGCGATTTATCGCGCGGTAATTCCCGCAATATCGCGGCAATTTACCCCGCGATATCGCTCTCCAATGCTTCTCAATGGGGCAAAGGGTCCTGCTGTCGCGGGTCGTGTGTCGCTACAGCAGGACCCTTTTTGGAGCGGATTTAGCCACGATTCAAGCTTGCTCAATGCAAGCATTTGCGCGATATCGTGCAAAATGCAAATCGCGCGACAAACGCGCAATTTGCGAACGGGCTCTTAGGGCCCATTCACATCAATTGCGGACGGTGCGTTCCAGAGTGGTAGCTGCTGGAACGCACAGCAATCTCACACTAAACTCCCCCCTTCATGAGGGGGCGATGCATTGAAGTCAATGGCACCGCCACCACGCCCCCTGCCTGCAGTGCAATTGGACACATGGCAAAACATTGCCTGCGTTCCGGTCCAGTTTGTCTGCTGGAAAGGTAAACATTGGGTTCTCTTACAAGCTGGCTTTATGTCGCTATGGTGACAGGGTTAATTTAACCAGCTGAGTGACCCAGGAAGTGCTGAAGCCAGTGGATCAGCATGGCAGACATTTCCAGAGAGAGCCTCTAGAAGCCCACACACTGCAGTACAAGTTCCCAAACATTGAGCACACAGCAACACGTACAAACAGGGAGGGATCGTTTCTGCTCATGGCTCCTCCCCTTTGTGTGGCGTACAGCGCTCTGCCGGCTCTGGCAGCTGCTGATTGGCTAAATCTTTGTTCCTTCCCGCTTGCCCCAGTCACAGATTTCCTTGGCTTGGCGAGCAGCGTGAGCGCACTTAGGCTGGAAGGGGCGGGTGCGCCCGTGGGGGAGATCCGGGTTCTGTGCACGAGCATGACGTGTACAGTCGAATCAAAACATAGCAGGTGCCGCACAGTGGAGGCTCCTGGCTGGATCGTGCACGGAGGTGAGGGGTCCTGGTACACTACTGATAATGTACTGCTGTCCTTCTTCCCTATAGAGCCCTGTGTGTATGGCTAGGCGTTATAATAGCCTCTGTGGCATCGTATGCAGTGCTGGCCAGTTTACTTAGATCATGTATTATTATATCCTCTCCTCCTATGCTGGCTGTCATGTTGTCATACAACCGGTGGCCAGAAACCGGTATATCTCCATCTCTAGGTGTCTGATGCCTCTACAGTGCCGTGTGCAGCTGTTTGTGCTTTCCGCCTGTCCTTTGTTGCAGCTGTCATTCCTTCTGATTGTGTTCTGGTCATTACAGCCCAGGGGCTCAGTTCACTCCGCTAACACACCAGGAAGAGGAGACTTCTTTTCAGTGGAGTCCAATCAGAATTAAAAGTTAGTCACATGACTAAAATAAAGATACTTCAGTATCATTCACACTGCCAGTGATGTACATGCGTTTATAGGACTAAGGCCTCATTCACACACAACGCAAGCAAAATTGTATATTGCGTATATACGCGCGCTATATGCAACCCCAGAATGCATCACTCGTAATGGAATTTTTAATGTACGCGCGTATAGACGCAGAAATACGCTGCCCGGACGCATCTGTTCCATTCTGTTTTTGCGCATATTTACGCTACGCAAATATACGGCTCTATACGCGGCTGTGTGTATGGAGCCATTTATTTGCATAGGTTGCATATGGTACAATACGCACGTACGTGCGGCAGTGTGAATGAGGCCTAAATGCATGTAATGATTTTAAAACCCATGTCCGGAGGCAAAAACCCAACTCTGCCCCTGCACTGCAAGAGTTAAAGGTTTGTTCAGTATCGGGTGAAGAAGTTTTACTTACCTGATCCCCTGCTGAACAAAACGTGAACAACCACGGACAGTGTCAGCCTATCGTTGATTTCGACAGGCTTCATGTCTGCTGCTGATCGGAAACATGGGGTCGTACCTGCTGCAGGAATATGCAGTTTTGGTCGGTGTTTGGCAGTGGGGGGCAACTCCGGTCCTCCAGCTGTTGTGGAACTGCAAGTCCTGGGATGCATTGCAAGACTGACAGCTAAAGAGATGACTCCCAGAGGCAGATTCATGATGAGATTTGTATTTGAAGCACAGCTGGAGGGCCAGAGTTGCCCACCCCTTGGTGTATGGTCATGCATGACCACGTGAATGAACTCTAAATTGTATAATTTACCTGTGTTTATGTGCATTTAGTTTGGCTGTGTTTTAGAGAAAATTGAATTGTGTGTGTCCAGGGGGCAGGTTAGATACCCTGAATACATGTAAATGCATGTACAGTTAAAACGCAGGAGGAAAATGATCTGGGATGTATAAATTGTGCATACTACTACTTGGATCATTTCTTCTGCGTCAAAGAAAACCAAATGCGGGAGGCTCACCTGAATGTTGCCTTAACCTTGTGCCAAAGCTTTGTGAATTGAGCCTTTTGTGTGTTAAGCTGGCCATACACCTATAGATTATCTGTAGATTTTCTATGGCCAGATGGAAAAAGTGCAACAGATTCCTCCATCTACACTAAACTGTGTGGATGGAGGAATCTCCCACTGGGCCAAGCTTCAGTATCTTGCTAGTCAGCCCCGCTGGCTTTCTCAATACCTGAACAATCTGATTGGCTGCAGGCATTGTTCAGGTATTTTGAGAGCCAGCGGGGCCGACTAGCAAGATACTGAAGCTTGACCCAGTGGCAGATTCCTCCATCCACACAGTTAAGAGTAGATGGAGGAATCCGTTGCACTTTTTCCATCTGACTATAGAAACTCTGCAGATAATCCATATAAATCCTGTATAATAATAATCTATAGGTGTGTGGCCAGTTTAAAATGTTTCCAAAACTGCTTGACTTTTGCCTTATTCTTATTAATATCGTTCTTTGTGCATTATGTAGATTTTATATGTATTCAGCTTTAACATATGGAAAGTTACATGCAATCCGTGTATGTTCACACGTACACCAACCTGCTAGTATTTATATTGTGCCCACATATTGCATTAAAGTAGATGTAAACCCCAACCGAATGGCACTAAGTTTGCTGAAGTACTGTGTATCATAAACAATTGCCATTTCATTTTAAATAAAACCCTTCCTATTCCCGCTGCTGATCTCCTGTAGCCACTTCTACATACACTCCAGCGATGACTACGTGGCATTTCACATCGCAGGTTTTACTGATGCTGACAGCGATGAACTATGGCTGCATAATGTGTGTTAAAACAGCCACTCGTTGTCTCCATCAATAGCCCATTTGACAACGCAGGAGGACAATCGGAAGACATGGACAGAGCGTTGTCACTCTATAACAGGAAGTGTCTGAACAAGGGCCTCCATGGCTGGATCACCAGGTATCATTTTTAGGAAGGTTGCAGATTTACAAATATTGAAAATGACTTTAGAAATGACCTGATGTGCTTATAGGAGATTTTAATGATTGAGCTTACATCTGCTATGACATATGGAAAAGTGTGCTAAATGTCCTGTAGGTAAGAGGTGATAACTGTCTTCACATATACACTAAGCTGTTAATTTTCTTTCCTGTATCAATATAGTGGCCACACATTGCCTTGTGCATTACAGGATACAGACATCAGCCTTTGCTCCTGAAGGGACTTGCAATCCAATGTATTTAAGGCACTTTTACACATTCCTGCTAATGTGTGACGACAGAAAGGACAGTTGTCACCATACTGGTGTCACTTTAACAAGCATGGCATTATTCGTATTAGTAACTGTTTACAATAAATAGGACTTTTAAAGGAGAACTATGGGGTTAAGGCTTTTCCCAAACTAGCGTCCTCCCGTCACCCTAAGCTCAGTATACTGAGACGCCGCAGCTGAAGCGGATCCCGGCAATTATGTCTGGATCCGCCCAGCTGCGTGACTGACAGCTGGCTCTGCCCATCTAGAGGGAGAGCCAGCTGCACCCTCCCCCGTCCGTTCTGCCAGTCAGCGCAGGCGGATCGGGGAGGGGGGAATCCAGCCCCGCCCCTGTCACAGCAGAGAGCCGTGACAGGATCGAGAGGTGAGCGAACGCCGGTATGTGTTCGCTCACCTCCCGATCTACTGAGCCCACCTGTGACAGTCTCATTGTCACAGGTCGGCTAGAACTATGAGGTGAGTGAAAAGCACTCGCCTCATAGTTCTCCTTTTTAACTCCTGACAGCTGCAGGGGCAGGCCGATGGGCTTGGAGAATTGCCCCTGGAAATATTTGTCACATAGTGACAGTATTAGAAGTGACCAGAAGACAACAACATGGCAACTGTTAGACTTTCAGTAGGACAATAGAGGCGGTTCTTAAAGGAGCTGTAAAGTGCCAACATATACTATCGGCATTGTAATAGGAAATACATGGTATAGTGCAGAGCAGCACAGTCCAGGTCACTATCTGCATGGAGTTTGCATGTTCTCCCTGTGCTTTCCTCCAGATACTCCAGTTTCCCTTTTACACTCCAAAGACATGCTGGAAGGTTAATTGGCTCCGGTCTAAATTGGCCCTCGTATGTGTGCATGTGAGATAGGGACCTTAGATTGTGAGCTCCATTGAGGGCAGGGACTGATGTGAATGTGCATGTAGAGTGCTGTGTAAATTGTTGGCACTATATAAAATACCAATAATAATAATAATAGTTTTTTATGATAATGCAATCAAAGCTAGTTAAAAAAAAAAAATATTCTGCTCTAAGGGCTTGTTCACTCCAAATGCAGACCAGATCTGCATGAGTTTCTGTACATGCAGTGCAGTGTTTTTTGCCGCGTTCGGGGCCATTTTTGCAATGGGCTTTCAGTGCGTTCCAGTGTGTTTGCATGCGTTCCAGAGCAGGTAAAATAGGGCTTGCTGCTGTTTTCTTTACATGCTCTGGAACCGAACGCTGCGTTGTGAACTAGAGCCCAAAATACCATTTGAATACATTGGACGCAGTTTTGAACCGGTCTGTAACTGCTCTGCTCCTGGAACGCGCTTGGTGTTTCTAAAGGAATCTCCAAGAATAGAATTATAAGAGCAGCCATTGCTGAATTTCTTTTGAAAGTTGCCCTTCCTTGCTCATTATTTAGTGAGGCTTTCACCCAAGAACAATCATGAGCATGTTTGGTATCTCAACACGTACATACACATGCTTTTTTCAGGTCCATGACTCACCAGGCAATGAAGGATAGAGATGACAACCATTGCATTTGATCGTCATGACCACCCTAAGCGTGTTTTTACCAAAGGCTTTTTGTTATTCTGAAACTGAATTTGGAAATCCTGCTTAGCAGTGTCTTGTTTAATGGGGAGAGTACAGAAGAGATCTGTATGATGGAACAGATGTTTTTTCCCCTCTTTGGATGATGGTTGTGTCTTGGCAGGATCAGGATCGTCTTCCCTTTTGTGTAATGATGAAGCGGAGCCAAAACCTTTCTTTCCATTATTGTCAAGCAGCTGCTCTTTGGGTAAAGCAAAAATGATTTTATAGATAGTTTGAAGTTGGACCTTTGAAACCGTTGTGTGTGTTATTTTGTGAAGGGTGCATCTGAAATGGACTATCTGAAAAGTGTGTGTGTGTGTGTGTGTGTGTGTGTGTGTGTGTGTGTGTGTGTATATCAATACGCAAGATGACTGTTGGGGGAACTTTGGTGGTCACCTTGCACAGTCTTCTGCCAGTTGGATGGTTTGTCTCAGAAAAGTTCTATATCCAAGATGCCTGGAGCTCTCCAAGCCATCCAAAATATTTTTGCTGGCATGCTACACTGTCCGCAAAATTCCATTGCTTTTGTATTTTGACTTCTTCACCTTCATCTATAATTTACATATTGTAGTGCAAATGTAGCGCCCCCCCCCCTGACCCCCAGAGGCCTGAGGTGGACCCCCAAAGGGCAGGGAGGGCTGACATTTCACTCTCAGAGGCAGATCCTTAGCCAGCGAGGGGACATAAGATCAACAAAGTGGGCGCCAGTCACTTTAAGGACTTTTTAGAATGCTTTATTGAGAACAGGCAAACTGGGAGAGAGGGTATAAGGCTTCAGACATCCATGGCAAAAACAAACAGGCTCACCGATCCTTTCAGGCTTCCACAGTGCAGAAAATACTTCAGTACAACAGGCTGACACTGTGCAGTAGAACAACAGCTGAATAGGGATGTGCATGAGATCTTCCCTGGGAGAGACACCAGACTTGTTCCTGAGGTCCATATCCGCTCCTGGTACCTCCAACAGTCATAGGGCTCCTCTGGTTCTCCTCGCAGACAGTTGCAAGATCCCACCTGAGTCAACATGTGGCCTCCTTCAAGCTTGAGGCCTAGTCAGCTTCTCCAACCTTGTACATGCTACCCCCTCGGTCGTGGACTGAACCAGAGCACATGCCAATCCCTGAGTATTTATGCACTAACCAGCATGCACCCCTAGCCATTAAACTCCTATTGGCTGTGGCACAGACACTCCTGATGTTCCCCTATTAACTGCCCCACTCTGTAGCAGGGTCACACCCCACTCAGGTAGGTGCATTCAGTATCAGAATACCTCGAATAAATCGGATAATGTCAAACTACAAATCAGCCATACTGATTACAGTGCTAGCAACACTAACAGGGCTATGCACTAAACGGTGAAGAGTTAGGAGAAGGGAACAATCTAGGCCAACATAGCTGATTTGGAAACATTCTTCAATTCTGCTCACTTTCCAGTTCAACTATGTTGTCCTAGATTGGTCACTTCTCCTGCCTTCTCCAAACTCTTAGTGAATAACCCTGTACATTTTTGTAGTCACTCCACTTAGTGCTTGTTCACTCCAATTGCGGGGGCGTTCCAGAGCGGTAGTTGCTGGAACGCACCGCGATTGCTCACAAAACCTCCCCCTGCGGGAGGGGGCGTGGCGGTGTGACCATGCACCTAGGACATGTGACCTTGCACATCATCTCAAAGGAGGAAAATGCCTTTCTCTGAGATTTCCTAGCAATGCTCTGCTGATGATGAGACAATCCCAGTGTGCATTGCTTTGCCAAACTGAAATAGTTTTGCCCTTTCAAAGCCGGAAGTGAATGTTCTGCAGGTGTAAGTATTTCACAATCCCAGCATTTTACACCTGACATGTCTGTTATTATTATTCATCATGCATAGAGGGATGCATTGGTAGAATTAGATTTTTGAGCGTGAAGGTCCGTTTTAATGACCGGAAAGACGAGGCTTTCTGTGATTAAAAAGACAACAACTTTACAGAACAACTTTAATATAACCCGATTTATTATTTAAAAGGGCATCAATCTGATCATTAAAAAAGAACTACCTTGCCGCATCCTATATTTGGCTTTAAAAAGTCAAATGGAAGGTTTATTTATCCATCTAACAACGTTTTCAGTTTGACAAGAAAGTAGTTGTGAATGTTGCAGAATCGTTTGAAGTACCTAAAATCTAACCCAAATAAGAATATTCCCTTTTCTGGTGTACGGAAACATCTGGCTGAACTTTCTTTTTGTCTGATTGAAAGTGGTAGTTGAAATATGGTCAGCCGTCATCATCGTCGCCTCTCCATGCAAATAGCCTGCATGGCACATTGACTTATGCAAGAGGAAAGAGGAAATATAATTAATGGTTTACATAACTTTGCCTAACCATAAATCCATAGGGCAAATGTATTTTTGCTTGTGTGGTTGTGAACAAATTTCTTTATACTGTCAGGTGTGTTTGGTAAACTAAAGGAAGCTAGTCAATAACAAAGCTCCATTAAAAACGAATATTACTGCTGAACATATGGACAAAGTTCTGATCTTTTTGCCCAGTGCTCATGCCACCTATGCTTCTCTGGGTATGTTGAACTCCGAGCAACATTTTTTAAATTAACCCTTGCAGTGGAGCAGTTAAAAGAGAACTATGGGGTAAGTGGTTTTACCCCATAGTTCTCTTTAGGGTCACTGGATGACATAAACTAGCGTCCACCCGTGACCCAACGCTCAGTATATTGCGAGCTACAGCTCGCGGTATACTGAGACTGGCACAGTCAAGACAGATCCCAACATTACTGTCGAGATCCACCCAGCTGCGTGAGTGACAGCGGGCTCTGCCTATCTAGACAGTCACGGCTCTCTGCAGGGAGATGATTGAGCGACGGTATGTGTTCGCTCACTTCCCGATCTATTGAGCCGACATGGGAGAATCATTGTCACAGGTCGGCTCGAACTATGAGGATGAGTTATTTTCACTCGCCTCATAGTTCTCCTTTTTAACTGCTTGTGTTCATCTAGGGACTAAAATTCCCGGAGTTGTTCTTTAAACTGACTTTTGTAATTTCTCAAAACACATATTCACAGTGGAAGTCCATTGATAAATAGCACTACTCCTAATCATCACTCGCAGATAATTTATTAGCTTGGTTGGTGTACATCAATCAAAACATCTGTTAGACTGTATTTTTCCAATAATACCAATGATGGCCACACAGGCTCTCACAGTTGACACTGCCAACAGGGGCGACGGGGGATTAAACTTGACTCTGAGAGGTGTAGAGGCTCTGTATAGAGCCTGGGCCATCCCTGTGCACCATCTACAATCTACAAAGACCTTTGATGGAGTCTCATTATGGAAACTTTGGCTGTCAGTCAACTTGTTAGGTGGAGAGGAGGGGCATGGCATGCCCAGGGCAGTGGGTGCATCTAAGGACACACACAGCCACTTACGGGCAGGGCTGGGAATGAGCACGCACGGGTGCCTCCACAGCAGCCGCTTAGCTGATGGTGGCACCCGTGGAGCGGGCAGGAGGATTAACTATGCGGGGACCCGCTAGAAAATGGGGAACTGAACATTTTTAATTAAAACAACAAAGGATTTTTTTTTTTATAAGTACGGGCATCCTATTTGACAAAAAAAAAAAATCATTAAGCTTTAATATCACTTTAACAATTAATGGGCTTCCCATACGATGGAATAGATAATCTTTTATACATCCGTGGATCAGCCTGGAGAGATTAAGCTGTGCATTTATAAACAATTCAGCGCGATTCATCCTGCAAAATTGCATGTGCAACTGGAGGCAAATACAAAAGTTATTAGTATATTTTCCTTTTAGGTTGAAATATCTGATTATGACCACTAGATGGCGCAGAGGAGCATATGAATTCTTTAATTACCAGTGCTCATCAGCTCCATCTAGTGGCCATCATGCACTATTTTGCTGGTGTGACATTTTACCAGGAAAGAAAATGTTTTCTGGATTGTGAGAAGTCTGGATTGTGAAATCCAACGATGCCTAATAGGTTGGATAGGCTGGATAGGCTGGATTGTGAAATCCAACGATGCCTAATAGGTTGGACTTGATGGACTAATGTCTTTATTCAACCTCAAATACTATGAAACTCTGGCGGTTGTGCTCGGAAAGTGGGAACTGCATTTTTAAGGATTATTGTAATAAAAGTACAGTTATCCTTTAAGTAAATTGTTTGATTGTAGCACATCTGTAGTGTGTTAGAATGCATTAGTAGCTCACTGTTTTGTTTTTCTTATGCTTTGCATTGAACTTTAAGATTTTGTGTAGCAAAGCTTGAAAATCCAAAGTATGTCAAATATCCCATGAGAAACATGGATGGAGCGCCATTTCATATACTGTAATTTGCAGTCTTGGTAATGGCGTCTTTCTGAGAAGTATACTTCTGGCAGGGAGAACAGCTGTGAGGTGTGCCTCTCCTCTTCATTGCTGGAAGTTAGTCATATGAGTTGACAATAATCCTTGGCCAGTTGGTTGTTTGTATAATGCAGTGAGCGGTTCATCCACGTATCCATTCCTCATTGGGAGAGCTTGTTCTATCTTCTCAAGCGTTTCCTTGTAAACGTTCTAGTGCAATTGAGGGATCGTCTTAAAGGAAACATGTCATTTAGTTTTATACAATACAAAGTAACAAAGCCATTCTATAGCATGGGGCATTCTCTTCACTGAACTGCCCAACTCACTCATGTGACATTGGAGACTTCTTAAAAACCCGCCCATAATGAGTATGGGGCATCTTATTGTGCCCGCTGTCTACAAGCAATGTTCCTTTTTATCAGTTGGTGACCGACTACTATTTTTGCGATTCGACTGCCCTGGAACACAGGGCATTGTGTACCATGCGTCCGGTGCGGGCGGGAGGTGTATCTCCGTGCTATTGAAATGAATGGCTCAGCCATGCCCCCTTCCCCCCCAGAAAGCAGGGCAATCCAGTGCGTTCATGGCATCGAACCGTGCTGTGAACGCATTGGATGGTTTGAACGGGCCCTAAAAGACATATCACTACTTGCACATAAGCAAGTTTTACACAAGCTGCTTGAAAGATTGTGGTAAAAAGTACCTTGTTGTTGTTAATAATATAATCATTATTAATAATAATATATATATTTTTTTCTCTCACTGATTTTCAGATCTCTCCCTCTGCATCTCTGTGTGCCTCCGTTAACCACTTCTGTACCGGCATGTTACACCCCCTTCATTAGCAGGCCATTTGTTTTCCGTTTTCAGCGCTGTGCGAGTTTGGCTGAGAATTCCTCCGTCACACAACAGTGTAACAAAATTAGTTTTATATCAGTTTGGGACAAATAGAACTTTCTTTTACTGGTATTTCATTTTTATTTTTTTTTGCTATATAAAGTTAAAAAAAAAAAAAGGCCAAAAAAAAAAAAATTGCCGGCTCCTCCTTACTTTTGTTTATAAATCATAGCAAAAATGTCAGGACAATATGAAAATCCCAAAATGACCCTTTTTTGGAATGTAGACACTCCAAGGTAATCTGATATTAATATTTTTTTTTTTGGCCCCAATTTTCATGCTGGTATTCAGTGGGTTAAAACATGGAGCTTGGTATTGGTGCACAAGAAGCAATAAATTGACAGGTCATAGACTGAGGGAGTAGGCGGCGAAGGGTGAATGTACAGAATTGTAGAAATGTCACCAGCACACCAGTCCTATTAAGATAGCAAAAGCTTCATTTATTGAAGTTTTTTGTCATATGACCAAACAAGCGCTTTCGGGACCGCGCAGGGTCCCTTCATCAGGCTTTAGCCGAAAGCGCTTGTTTGGTCATATGACAAAAAACTTCAATAAATGAAGCTTTTGCTATCTTAATAGGACTGGTGTGCTGGTGACATTTCTACAATTTTGCTGACATTCGCGGCGCCATCCGCGGTCACTGCGAGCACCCCCCACTACAAGGAACATATCGGTAAGGAGTGCGACAAGGAGAGTACTCATTGGGTGAATGTACAGGCCACATGCAGTGGGAGGATGGAGATGAAGGGATTAATGTACAGATGTGCAGGATAAGGGAGGTGGAAGGGTTAATAGTAGGAGAGGGAGGTTTAAAGGAGAACGAGGAGGGCTAGGGCTTTTCCCCATAGTTCTCGGAAGGGTAACGGGAGGACGCAAACTAGCGTCCTTCCGTCACCCAAAGCTGAAACGGATCCCACTGGGCCAAGCTTCAGTATCTTGTTAGTCAGCCCACCTGGCTCTCAAAATCCCTGAACAATGCCTGCATCCAATCGGATTGTTCCGGTATTTTGAGAGAAAGTGGGGCCGACCAACAAGATACTGACGCTTGGCCCAGTTGGAGATTCCTCCATCCACACAGTTTAGCGTAGTTGGAGGAATCTGTTGCACTTTTTCTATCTGAGCATAAAAAATCTGCAGGTGACCTATAGGTGCATGGCCAGCCTAACTTTTTGGGAATTTCTCTAGTTGTAATCAATGGAGCTGGCTCCTAAAAAACAAACCAACATCCTGCTGGTTTCTGGATTGGACAGACTGGCTTCTGAATTCCATATGTATGCGCCTCCTGAATAGAACGTTTTGTTGCTGCTGCTTTTGTCCCTGGTAAGGCGATTTCTGCTCACTTCCTGCACTTTCACTTTATGGTTATTGTCCGAAATGCAAGATCCAGACAGCAGTAAGAGCCCAACATTTTTCTTACCTGTTCTCAATCCATCCAAAACTAAGGAAGGTTTTTTTGCTGGAATTAAAACTAAACCTGCATAGATGACCGTTTTTCTTCAATTCTCACAGTTGTGTCACTCATGTGAGTTTTAACACTAATAAAGGTGTCTACCACTAGGGGGTACTCGTACACCAGCATTCGTGCTGTACTCCTACAGAAACCTGCCGAGATCAGCGTTTCTCAACCTTCCTTTTTTTTTTCTGTCACAGCACCCTTTCAAAGTATGCAAAATCGCGTGGCACCCTATAGATTTTAAAGAGGGACTCCATACAAAAACATACACTGTCAACCTGCACACCAGGAGCTCCTCTTTCACATGAGGAGCCCTCCCATTACATCATAAGTCCCTTTTCGCTTCAAAGCTCCCTTTTTTACATCAAAGTACCACTAACACAACATTTTCAGGAGGCACACGAGTGTCACAGCACCTTGGTTGAGATTCGTATAGCAGAGGTGTTTCGATCTCAAGAACGTAACAGTTCTGTCTCTAATTTCAAGCTGGAAAGGTTCCAGTATGCAAACATGAAGAATGCTGTAGTTTGTCTGTGCCTGTCCTGTATGACGATCAGGGACCGATGGAACAGAATGTAAAAACAATGCGTAAATTGTCAGCTCGATATAAATGCCTGGAAGCAAGTAAACGTCCTAACGTTGCCTTTAATTAAATGACAACTACACTAAAAAAGTTGTCCTTTTAAAGCAGGACTCCAGGCAAAAGTGTTATTAACCCTTGCAGTGGAGCTAACCCTGCACGGGTTCAGTGCTGTTTTTTGTCTAGGTGTGATTAATGCACGATACCGCACAACGCACCTCCCGTGCGATCACAGTGCGGAAGGTGTGTTGCATGCCATTCATTTGAATGACACCCCATACGCACCTTCCGCCCAGAGTGCGGCGCGTTCATTCGCAGTGTGGGTGGGAGGTGCATATGGGGTGCCATTCAAATGAATGGCACGCAATGCACCTCCCACACTGTTTCACACGGAAGGTGCATTGTGTGGAATCGTGCGATTAACGCACGTAGGTGGTGTTAACGGGCCCTTTCACATGAGTGCACCCCACCTTTAAAACACTTGCCTCCACCTTGGTCAACCATCATCACTGTGTGGCTCTGGCCAGCACTGCACAGCCTTTGAAAACAAAACATCCCAGCTGGGTCCTTTCCTGCTGGACTCTCCTATAAGAATGAATGGGGCAGCGGCAGATATGCACTGTTGGAATACAACCCAGCCAGAACATATCTATCTATATCTATATCTCGTGTTTCCCCGAAAATGTCTTACCGAGCTGGGGGAGGACGAGGTCCCGAAAGGCGGCGTGCTGTTGCCGTTCCCGGTGTCGAAGTTGGCGGAGGATATGCCGCTTCCATCCGGCTGGCGTGTAGGCGGGGCGGGAGCTGCGGCCGGCTGGCGTGTGAGCGGGAGCTGCGGCCGGTCTTTACATTTTAAAAATAGTGTAGCTACCCCGAAAGTAAGACCTAGCTCTATCTTCAGGGATAAGACCTACCACCGAACTAGGTCTTATTTTCTGGGTAGGTCTAATATTATCCCTGAAGATAGCGCTAGGTCTTACTTTCGGGGAAAGTTTGTTTAAAAAACCCCCCCCCTTTTTTTTTTTTTTTTTAGTTGAGAATGGGCTTTTAGTGCATTCCAGAGCAGGTAAAATAGGGCTTGCTGCATTTTTTTTACATGCTCCGGAACTGGACGCAGCGGTGTGAACTGGAGCCCAAAATACCATTGGAATACATTGGACGCAGTTTTGATCCGGACTGTAACTGCTCTGCTCCTGGAACGCGCTTGGTGTGAACAACGCCTAAGTGTATATAAAGCCAAAATGCAACTTTTAAGCTGAATTTAGATGTAAAATTTTTTTTTTTCAGAACATTCATTTAATTTTTTTCATAATTAATTTGGTCAAATTGAGAATTTTTTTGACCATAGTGATGATAAAAGAGTGGGATGAAAGGTTTTTTTTCTGAATTCTAACATGTGTGGTTTACATTGAAGAAGCTCCGTTCTTTCCAAAATCAAATGTTAAAATGAAATGAAACTTTGAACGACATTCTACAAGTCTCTGATGGTGTTCTCATGAGATTTTTCATATGAACGTTGAGCGTATAATTGTATGGCAAGCTTTAGAGAATGTGGCATGGTTAGAACCCCTGTCAGGTTTGTATTTTGTCTTTGCTCCAAGTTGGGAGAGTCACCCTCTGGTCACCATGACCGCTATGGGAACTCTCTTGTTACAATGACTGTTTGTTTTTATTTCATTCGGTGTGTTTCTCATTCATGACCGGAAACTGTGTTTTTCCTTTCCTTAGATCTCTGTAGATATATGAACAGTGAACATGGCGGAGGGCAATTTTGATCCCTGTGAATGTATCTGCTCCCATAACTATGCAATGCGAAGACTGATTTATCTGGTAAGTGTTTCCTACACTGATGCTATTGGCGGCATGTATTTCCTACAGCTTCATACAGTATATATGTTATAATGTGCGTGTTTCTACTCCTTCAGACTATTTGATTGCTTTAGGCTTCCTGCACTAGCAGGCTACTGGCCCAATGCCTAGGCATTAGTCACATGGCGGCTTAAAGGGGAGCAGCAGTGTTCAAGTATAGCTGCCGACTGGGGAGCTTGGCCTGAACATCAACTTCCAGCAAGGTCATTAGTCACATATCCTGTATGCATGTTGTTGTCTTTTTGTACTTTTCAGAGAACATTCACTTATTCTTTTTTTTGGCCTCCTGCGGGGAGAAGGCACATAGAAGAGCAGCAAGAAGATTCTACCAGAGGGTCTGAAGATTGCTGCATGTTGCAGCAGTCGGATTCAGGGTACTTTTCGGCACAGGAGTGTGGTGGGGGTCATGTTAAGGCCCCGTTCACACCAGGGCGTTTTGCCGCTCGTTTTTTTAACATGCAGAAGCGCATGCAAAAATCCCATGTATTCTTATAGGGGCTGAATCACGCATAAAAATAGGCCTGTTGTTTACAATGGTCCTTGAGCTTCTTTTGTGGTACTTATCAACTCGTTTTGCTCAATAGACTTCAATGGAAAAGCGCCGATCAGCACTTTTAGCAGCTGAGACAGCTTTTCATTGGACAACCGAAAACACGCCTTAAAACGCTCTTGCATATGAACAGAAAACGCCTGTGAAACGTGCTGCAATGCGTGAAAAAAGCCCTGAAACTATGTCACCCTGGTGTGAATGGGGTCTAAGTGTATCTAAAGCCAAAACGTTTTTTGTAGAATGGGTTATAACCCCTCAACCTTCTATTTGTTCTAGTGACCATAGTCACCAGGACTGGAAGTTAGTGAAAATCCTATTTTACAGTTGCCACTGGAACAGAAATAGCGGGGAAACTTCCAATGTGGATAATCACTCACTTTTGGGGAAATTTCCTCTCCGTTCCTGTTGTGTCTACAAAACAGGAAGTAAAGGGAAATCTTCCCAATGGAACACAAATGGCAAAAAATGCCTCCCTGCTAACCTACATCCAAAATTAAGTAAAAATGGTTTGGCTGCACATACGTACACTTTAAGGGGGGGCAGCTAGCCAAAAAGAATGACCCGTACTTTCTCTGAAAGCCCAGTTATCCTTCAAAGTAGAGCTCCAGGTTCCCTGCGTTGTAAAACAGAGTTGCTTATTGAGTATAGCAGACATTCAGAGGTCGGCTAGTATTTTCCTCACTGAATACTAGGTGTTCTCTGATTGAATGGGGGGGGGGGGGGGATGTGCTATGACACGACACGACATTGCTGTGGCTGCTGCAGCCAGGGATTTTATACATTTTGTTTTTTACATTTTGCCAAGTTCTATGTTCTAGTTCTAAGCAATAAGTAAACGTACCTTTTTATTTAGATGACTGCTCTGAACCAGCCACTTTCTTCTGGATTGGGACATGATGTCTATTGGGCACTAGCAAACGCCATTGTCCGAGGCTTCTTCGGGGTGGGGGGATATAGACATAGGACTGATCAGTACACATTGTCCGTTCACTATTTGTTTTCTTCCCTAATAAGCCTGTGCCTGCAATGTGACTGTCCCACCTCTTTTCCATAGGTGGGACAGTAATCATTTGTCAATTAAAAATTGTAAAATTAGAGGCCTAAAGGTCGTCTCTAAGTAAACACTCATTGAAGCAATAAATATGTGAGAGGAAAAAACTCTTTACTTGCGTGTGCTTCTTCTTATTAGACACACAATATGGAGGAGCAATGATCTGTAATGATGGTTTTGTAGCAGGTAACGGGGCCTGTCTTGGGTTATGGTCTTTCTGTGTGAATTCCAGCTGGCAAACTAGTTATTACAAACAATACAGTTCCGTTCAGCAGTGAACCCTCCACATCAGCAGTTACCTTGAGACGCTGGTAGCAGAAGTATGTTTTGTAAAGCTGCCATAGACTGGTAGATTTTCATATGAACGTTCATACAAAAAAAAATCTCATCAGAACATTCAATCATGCCATCAGAGGCTTGACGAATGCTGTTTTACAATTTTGTTTCATTTTAACATTTGATCTTGAAATGAACGGCGTTTCTCAAAGAAAATCCACGTTCACTGTTCATTTTATTTTCTCAAATAAACAAAATTCCACTATCCTGCTCCTTTTTATGTATTTATCGTTATCACTACGGTCAAAAACCATCCTCAATTTGGCCCCATTATGGCCCAGTTCACATCTGAGCGATCCAAGAATGTCTGGTGATCGCGGAACTGCACACAAATGCAAACCACGCTCGTGGCGCCGTTCATTTCTAATGGCACCCCAATCGCGGCTAGCAATCTGTGCAGTTTTGGGCCACGTTTCCACAGGTGGAATTGCGCACAAACACGGCCAAACAAAACCCGGGGTCTCTCCGTGCACAAAAAGGTGCAAGAGCCTTTTGGCCGTAGTTGCCACGTGGAAATGGCCCCATTAATTTTAATGGCCAGTAGAAAGGCATCATGGCACACTCGCAAGTCAGCATGTAAAAAAACTTGTCTCACCACTAAGGTTAATAACAGAGGTTTGGATACACGTCTTCTGCAGAAATGTGATTAATTTTAATGGGGCCCCGAGGCACACAACAGCGTGCGGACGCATGGTTCAGGGACACCTGGTCCCGAGCCGCCCACATGTGGACCAAGCCTAACTATTCTAAAACTGGACAAGCTTTCCAAAAATTGTGTGTGTTTTTTTGTTTGTGTGGTTTTTTTTTGTTTGTTTTTTATGAAAAAAACATGTACTGGTGTATGGGCAGCTTTACGTGACCTTGTACTGTGGGTATGGATGTGATCCTGGTTTTCAGAGTAGCTCCACTCCTATACTAGAGCCTCTAGGAAAGTTATTTTGCCCCATGTTAGAACCTTCTTATGAGCTGGCAATGAAATAAGCATCCAAGTCAAGAGATGATACAAGCGTTAAAGGAGAACTATGGGGTTAAGACTTTTCCCCATAGTTCTCCTTAGGGTAATGGGAGGACACAAACTAGCATCCTCCCGTCACCCTAGGCTCAGTATACCGCCAGCTGTAGCTCGCGGTATACTGAGACGCCGCAGTATACTGCTAGCTGCTGCTCGCGGTATACTGAGACACCGCAGCTGAAGCGGATCCCGACAATTGTGCCGGGATCCGCCCAGCTGCGTGACTGACAGCGGGCTCTGCCTATCCAGAGGCAGAGCCAGCTGTACCCTCCCCCGTCCGTTCCGCCAGTCAGCGCTGGCGGAGCGGGGAATCTAGCCCCGCCCCTGTCACGGCAGAGAGCCGTGACAGGATCGAGAGGTGAGCGAACGCCGGTATGTGTTCACTCACATCCTGATCTACTGAGCCGACCTGTGACAGTCTCATAGTTCTCCTCATAGTTCTCCTTTAACAAATGAAATCACAAAGCTTCTGTAGTAACTTCTTACTATAAATCTTTTCTTTTTACAGCTCAGGCAGTCTCAGTCTTACTGCACAGACACAGAATGCCTTCAAGAATGTGAGTATACGTGTTTTCGAATGTTTGTTTTTTATTACTGTTTCATAGCACTATTGTATTCTGTAGCACTTTCCAGAATACATTCAGCCTATCAAATCATTTCTTACCCCCTGTTCAAGGTAAAGCAGAGCAAAGCAGAAGATTTCGCAAATTCAGTCAGATTTAGTAAATTTTGTTAGTCAGCATTCATCTGAACGTAAATCTTTTTTAAGGTGTGCTCAGGAACGTCAGACTTTTCCTATGAAGTAACCAAACTAGCTATTCCTGTTTTTAAGCAGAAGGTGCACCTTTTTTATTCGTAATACCATTCACATAGCTCTGAGAAGGCAGATTGGTAAATCAATCTTACTTGTGTGTTAACTTCTCACCACTTAAGGTTTTATTGCTGGGTTCTTGTAGCTAGCGGGACCCCAAAACCCGGCAATTTTATACATTTTATTTCAGATTTGCGGCCATAATAATTATTAATATTAGTTTATTGATGCTGTAGTGCATTTTTCATTTTTTTTTTTATAAGCACTCTGCTTTCAAAGCATCTGTAAGGTATTTTGTTGACGTGGATATTTTAATACCATTTTTTACCTATCCGTTTCCCTTGTCAGACATATAGGCATAACCGGACCACCCTTATGGTGAAATGTTTTCACAGTGCTGCAAAGCACTTGTTGAACTTGGCTCAGCCAAGGTAACCATTTTAAAAAGATGATGAAGCGGGAGAGCAAAAGAATAGGCTTCCAGTCCCAGCCTATGGAGTGGTGACATGAGTGAGAATCCTGTGTGATCACCTGTTCCATCGGCCATCCATGTAGACCCCCACCTACAGTTAAGAGAATGTCATGTTCTTGGGCATAAAAGAGAAGAATAGATGAGTAAATCTGTTTACTATGGAAGATAATTTTGCACATCCTTACAACAGCAGCAAAGCATAGCTCGATTTGAATATATTCCAGGACTGTTATGAAAAATCTTGCCTGCTGAATGTAGGTAACAAGGTCCTGATTAGCACATTGCACCCCACTTCTCGTGAATTATATTGCTGGTAGAAGATGGGGATTAGCCATACAGTGCCGTGTATTCTATTTGAAAGAATAGCGCAGTTGATAGAATTCTTATTGCTCATCAATGTGCACCAGAAGGGAATATCGATTTAAAGCCTCCACCTTTGCTTTAAATGATTGACTGCTTGGGTAAACAGATACAATATTTCCATTTATAGTGAATAGTAGACATGGGGTGTTGGCATGGGTAAGGACATTCTGATGTGCTGATTAATGATAAGAAGTGTGTGTGTGAGGTATTTGATGAGTTATGCTGTCTGTTTCTGTGATGTATTCTCCTTGTTGGTCATTGTTCATGACGGTGCTGACGTACACATTGTTCTGGTTACACATTTTGTGTTGGCAGGTGTGTTTTTTTGCAATGTAGGAGTGTACGGATTTATGTGAACTTTGCTGTGTCTGTGTCAATCTGTATTAAATGCCTGTAAAATGCCTAAGGCAAGACGATCCAAGTGCAGCACTTCAGGCATTCAACAGGTTTCTCCACCAAGCTTTAGACTCTTTGGCCTGGTTCACACTTAGGAGTTTTTGATCAGTTGGAAAAGCACTTTTAAATGCTCAATACAATAAATCCCATGATTTTTCAATGGCCCTGGTTCACACCTGAGCAGAAAAACGCAAGCCGGAAAAAGCCAAACGCCGAAAATGTATATGAGCTTCTTTGGGCAGTTAAAAGCGCGTTTTTGTCCTATAGACTTCAATGGAAATGGCCAAAAACACGCGGCAGAAGCATGTTGCACGTTTTCGTTTAAATATGTGTTCTTCCATTGCCTGCAATGTTTCATGAGCTGTCAGTCAAAACGTGCGTCCTCATGTACGCGTGTATAAACGTGTAAATAACCGCATGCTGCTCACGCACGTACAAACGCACAAAAACGGTGCCACCTAGGTGTGAATCAGGCCTTCCTTATGTGTTAAAATAGCTGAAAGCTAGATTTCTATATCTCTGGAGACATAGACAAAACTCTCTTTTTGGTATGACAGTCAATCACAAAATGGTAATGAAATTCATCATGAAAATGGTGGTCAAGGGAAAGGTTGCATCTGTTTCCAAGACACCTTAGATAAAATATAGAGACATTTAGTAGTGGAATTCCTTGAGTTCATTAGAATACATATTGTACATTGAATGATCACTTATTGTTTCCTTGTCAAACAGACAGATCTGTGTAACTGATAACAATGTCCTTCCAGTCTCTGCCATGTTTTCTGTTTAGGATATAAATGATGATAGTGGTGTAGGACTTTTACAATTGGGTATGGCTAGGGCTGCACCTAATGATCATTTTCATAATCGATAAGTTGGCCCATTAATCATAAAAATAATAGGATAAAAAAATTAGCATCCTTAATTTAAAATAAAATACACAAATGCAGTGTTACAAACAAATTTTACTTAAGAATAAAACGGCATGCACAGATTTTTTATTTTTTGTTGCAATCGCACTGCACTGGAGCACACGGCACGTTCCATTGCAGGCAATCATACTGTGGGTGGGAGGCACGTTTGGGGTGCCATTGAAATGAATGGCACTGCAACGCACCTCCCACAGCAGAATTTGTCAGGCCGAAACCAAAAATGACTTATTTTTTTCCCCACTTTTTTTTTTTAATAATTGTATTGTAAGCACATGGCGCTTGAATAGCTTCAGCCCGGGCATGACAGCTGCCAGTGGCAAGATTCTGCAGATGGCAGCTGAATGTAAATACAGCAGGCAGTGGGCTGGTGCAATAGCCAGCCTGCTATTGGCCATTTCAAATTGCAATAGCCAATAGCAGACTAGCCATTGCACCCCCCCACACCTTGTCTACATTTAGTAGTGGAATTCCTTGAGTTCATTAGAATACATATTGTACATTGAATGATCACTTATTGTTTCCTTGTCAAACAGACAGATCTGTGTAACTGATAACAATGTCCTTCCAGTCTCTGCCATGTTTTCTGTTTAGGATATAAATGATGATAGTGGTGTAGGACTTTTACAATTGGGTATGGCTAGGGCTGCACCTAATGATCATTTTCATAATCGATAAGTTGGCCCATTAATCATAAAAATAATAGGATAAAAAAATTAGCATCCTTAATTTAAAATAAAATACACAAATGCAGTGTTACAAACAAATTTTACTTAAGAATAAAACGGCATGCACAGATTTTTTATTTTTTGTTGCAATCGCACTGCACTGGAGCACACGGCACGTTCCATTGCAGGCAATCATACTGTGGGTGGGAGGCACGTTTGGGGTGCCATTGAAATGAATGGCACTGCAACGCACCTCCCACAGCAGAATTTGTCAGGCCGAAACCAAAAATGACTTATTTTTTTCCCCACTTTTTTTTTTTAATAATTGTATTGTAAGCACATGGCGCTTGAATAGCTTCAGCCCGGGCATGACAGCTGCCAGTGGCAAGATTCTGCAGATGGCAGCTGAATGTAAATACAGCAGGCAGTGGGCTGGTGCAATAGCCAGCCTGCTATTGGCCATTTCAAATTGCAATAGCCAATAGCAGACTAGCCATTGCACCCACCCACTGCTTGCTGTGGCCTCCTCCCAGCATGGAGGAGAGCGCTAGGGGATCCAACCAACTAATTGATGAAAAGAATAGTTGACGGCTATTCTCATCATCGATCATTATCACTTAATTGATTAGTTGGTTGCAGCCCTAGGTATTCCCTTAAGTAGAACTAATGAGCTCCATATGACATTTTTCTATGACTTTTAGGACTTTGAGTGTAAAGGATAATTACCCTAAAAAAATTTAAGACAAAGCTCATTTGGATTGAACTCGGTCTGCTTAATTTTGATTTATGTACCGTATTTTGCGGACCATAGGGCGCAGGGAGGTCCGGCGCGCCTTATGGAGCACTCGACAGACTGTAGCTTCTGACACAACTTCTATGACAGAAGCTGTGACAGAAGCTGCAGTTAGTGACCGCTGAGACAGGTGGCGCTGTGATTACAGCGCCACGGTCTCAGTGATCACACAGAGCAGACGAAGAAAGTCCGTTCTTCGTCTGCTCTATGGTGATCTCCATCGTCGCCGCTGCTCGGTTTTAATACGAGTGATCTCATTAGATCACTCGTATTAAACGAGCAGTGGCTCCTACTACTCGCCCGGCGCCCGAAACTGCATGTCTCTGGCGTCGGGATTCGCTCCATAAGACGCAGGCACATTTTCCCCCTCCTTTTGGGGGGAAAAAAGTGCGTCTTATGGAGCGAAAAATACGGTAGTTCTAAACATTTGATAACGTGTTTCACATTTTCAGCTCCTTTTGTTCTCATAGCAGGCTAACTTTTTGGCTTTTGTGTATTTTTCAGCTTTACCTCGGTCACCACCAAGAGATCTCACTTACTGGCAGTGAACAAAAATGTATTATTTAGTTAGAATATGGTCGCATTCACAAAATAATTTTTTGTTCACTACTAGTAAGTGAGATTTCTTGGCTGTGACAGAAGAAGAGCTGATAAATAAGCGGCTATATTTTTACTTGCAGAATAGGAACATACATACAGATCAAGAAAAGTGTTACTGTGCAGTGTCTGTATGCAGAGCACACAGGACAAAAAAGTGGTACTGTATAGAACTCGTACATAAAGAATAAGTACCGTATTTGCAGGCGTATAAGACGGGTTTTGAAACCTTAAAACATACGACGAGTATAGCCCAAAACCTATATTTTAACACAAAAAGTAGGGGGTCGTCTTATACGCCGGCTAATACGGTACACATATTGGGAACTGCACCTAGAACAAGAGAAGTGGTACTGAATAGAACAAGAGCATATACTGAGAACTACACTTAAACCAAAAGAAGTCGCACTATGTAGCGGCAGTGCATACAAAAGAGGACGAGACCCACGCCATGTAGTGAATATTCCTCAAAATTTACAGTTGGTGCCAAACTTTTGAGGTCTTTCTAGTTGTTTAAAAAAAAAAGAAGAAATTCCTGCCACCTCCTGGATTGGACAAATTGGCTCCTGTAGAAAAGTCTGCACATTTCAGTCCTTGAGTAAATAATTTTACAATCCCTTTTTGACATGGGCTGGACCCTCCCTACCCCTGGGACCTCAAAGCAGCAGAAAATAGGACAAACAGAAGCGACTTTGCAAAAGCTGACAGCCTCCCATAATGTCAAGCCATTTCAGCCTGCTATGACACTTTAGTGCCACTCCACCCTTTACATTGTCACATATTGCTTTTGTTGCTTTCTTTGTTTTTTCTTTCAATTTTGTCCATGCTTCTTTATTTGTGACCAGGCTATTGATTTACCCATAGCTCATGTGCAATTCATTTGTTGTTGGATAAACTTTTCCTTACTGGCAAAGTCCAGGTCTCTGTACTTGTACAACATGTGCCTCAATCTGTAGTTTTGCCAGTTCTTTTTTTTTTGGTTTCTTTTTAACTTTACATAACACTGAAAACATAATTCCGCATACACACGATGAACAAGCTTTATTTTTTTTGTTTGTCACCGTGCTATACTTAATACACTGCAGACTCAATCACCAATATTAAAGGCCAAAGACTGACCAGAAAAACTACTATTTTATCATAATTCGTACACTTTTTAGACCCTGTTGCCAGTTGTATGAGCAGTGGCAAGGCACATTGGCTCTGAGGTGGACTGTCAGGATGCAGACTTGTTGCTTGGACTTGTGCGCTCTGATGTTTGCTGGGAGCCACTGTCACTCACCACACCAGGGCTAGGCAATAGGGACATGCCACCTAAACTGACTACTGGACAGGTCTGTATCTAATCACAGCAAGCCCAGGGGTGCAAACTGACCACTCCAGCATGGATCTGTTTCCATGCGATCCATGGCAGAATCATCAGGTATTTATCAGCACCAAACGAAATAAAAACATTAAAGACTACATTTACCAAGGCCCATGTTAAAAAAAAAACAAAACAAAAAAACAACACGTATATCTAAACTTCTTTTTTTGGGTAAAATATTGCTTGCGATGATTTTTTTTTTAACAATAATATTTATTGAAACTTAACAGCATAACAACAAAAATAATATAACAGAACAAATAAGAGTGTAACAAAAAAACATCCATTGTGCATACAACACTTTCCACATCAAAAGAAGCCAACAGTCTAGTAGTGAACATCTCCAAAACGGCTTTGGGGGATGAGGATGATGATGATTTTAGTGAAAAAATATTCTATATCTGTATAGGTCCACTTTTTTAAAAAGTATTTTTGTTTTCTTACTTTTCTCCTATTTACTACAGAAATGAAAAAAGCTTAAATAATAGTTTATACCTTATTTACTTTTACCTGCTTAACAAAGGAAATATACCGGTTACTGAAGTGGGGAGTTCAGATACAACTTTTATGATTGGTTTCCTTTCCTCACCAGTGCCTGGACCCAATCCTTCTTCTAATGATGGTGGCTTTAACATCGCCATGATTGTCATGGCCTGGCTGGTCATTGGCTTTACTCTATACCTGCTTAGACCCAGGAGTCTCCGAGGAGCCAGGGCATCTGGAAAGCCAACTAGCCCACATAACGTGAGTGCTGTACTTCATCTCAATTGCTCTCATTTCTCTTTACTGCACCACTCTTACTACACTAAGCTGTAGTGGACTAAGTAAATATGTAATTGTAAGGAAAATTATGCCGAAACTATTTTTTAAACTTGAGCAATTATTTACATTAAATAGTTGTGGGGTTCATCCGTTTGAATCTGTATTCTTGATTTTATTTTTACACTGTATGAATAAAGACTTCCATCCTACAACATTTGTTCATGGAGTTGCTGTTTTTATATTGCTCTATAATTGGCTATAGCTGTACTACTGTTGCTTCCCTTTAATCTTATGTGTTTACAGAAAATTCGTCTTGGACCTATCTAAGCATGCTTGGATTTCTCTTGTGAGAATTCAGCCAATTCCCCATTCATACTTTCATGCTGCCAGATATTTTATTCATACAGCTGGCACTAATGGCTATCTAAATACCTCAACAGAGACTGCATCTAATTGGATGCAGTCGCTGTTGGGGCAACCATTTTTAAACTGGCTCCTTCCATTATTATTTTAAATCTAAGTTTATCGAGTTGGGTGGTGTTGACAGGGCCACCCATGGCACCAATTTATTTACACAGTGTTGTGCTGTTCTTGTGCCTGGAGGTTGTTCCATAGTGCCCCCTTTGCTATTCTCTGCTGCAAACTTCCATTGACAATCCAATCTAAGAAGACAACTTTTTGATTTGTGGTAAGGGTGATGAGTGCATGTTCTGCTCTGTGGGATCACAACTGCATTCTACTTTACTATTTAGCCTGTAAGCTCTGCTCAATACGGAGTGCTCAGGTATAAGAATTAACTGTGCATTTTGGACACATCAATAACTTCAACTCTGCCCAAGTTGCATAAAAAAATCCAGTAAGTGAAATTGCAATTCCATTCCTACTGGTCTTTATAGCATGAGAGTAGATGCAATTGACTTGCTGCACTAGTGTACTGCTTAGTAGACACTCCTCACCATTCAATTGAAAAAAAGCACTTACACCAATGTGAGGATTGGGTATTCAGAGTGCATGGCGGACCAACTCACAAGAAATAATGTCCATTTTTGCACAGGCCCTTTAACTCCTTCATCAGTTCGGCACATGCACTCACCATTCTGGAGTGGTATAAAGTGATGGAAGTAGTAAATGGTCAGTCTAGTATTAGAAGGGTAATATAGGATGAACCATTCCTGTAACTCTCTCCTTCTCCTCCCTTTTTACTTACATCTTTGAGACTCCTAGTATAATCCTTTACCTGCACTAGGTGTGTAAAAGTCAGGCTTTATGCATAGGAGTGTCTAAAGAAAAAAACAGTAATTGTTGACCATGGCATCCATTGAAATGATTCCTTTCATGTTTTTATTTCAGTATGCGTATATGAAAGGAATAATCAGATTACCCTGTTATACTTTTAGTGAACTTCTCAGTATAATTGTATTTATAGTAATAAGAATAACCCATCAACATTGTATCCTCTTTTATCTGCAGGATCCTAGAAATGAACCTCCAGCCCCTCCAGTAGACTAGCACCTCCAGGGGCTTCCAAACTGCAACAGTTTTGCACGACCAAATGAAACCAGAATGGCCAGACTACTCTATAATGGTTGACTATTCTCTTTCCTTTCACGGATACCGGCAATGGTGTTACCGGTATCAAACAATTGCAATCTTGAGATGCCAAACACATCTGGAATCCTTCCTCCTCTTTCTTTTTTTTTTTTTTTTACTAGAACTGGTTCTTTCCTGTTCTTATGACTTTATTTCTTTGCAAACCGAAGCATATTACCATACTGTATCGCTCTTGTATTGCATATACCTTTTTTACTGGACTTTTCAGCCTTATTATATGCCTTCAGACTCTCTACTCAATACATTTCATCGCTCTTTGCACAATAGCAAATTGTATATTTACATGTGTCTACTGTAATGTGAACATGTCACCTTTTAAAAGTAATTACATATGGAGCTGGGTATTATTCACATTTAAAGAGATCACAACAAACATATATTCCATATTCACCAGTTCAACTGCAATCCTCGTCTGATTTAGGCTGCACCTAGAATGTGTAGGAGATTTAGGTGGTAGAACTGGCCTTTACAGAAAATTATACTTGTATAAAATTTGTTTGTACGTGCCATGCCATTGACTTTATTTTTCCAGCTTTAGAAAGAGGGACCAGTGATTGGGTTTTTTTTTTTTAAATGTAAACTTTTCTGCAAAATATGCTGTAGTTTGTATTATTAGCAGTGGCCAGAAAGTAGAGATTTCACATAACAGCATAATGGAACTGCGCCCCCATTTCTTTGACGGTTCACCTTAAATGGTGATATGTAGTACTCCTTGGCAGCATGCTCCCAAACTACTACACGCAACAACAGTCTGTTTTATCTCTTTAACATTTACCTACGTGTAGTGTAATGACCTTTTTGATTAGATCTGACCTAAAAGAACTGTCTAGGTAGACTAGGCAACCTCGGCACTCCAGCTGTTGTGGAACTACCCAAGGCATTGCAAGACTCCCATGACTCCCAGTGGAGAGGCATGATGGAATTTGCAATTTCAGATGGATGGTCAAGATTTCCTACCCCCTGAGGTAGACTGTCGCACTAAAGGTGGCCATACACTGTGATTTTCGTTTGGAAATCGTACACGAACAATGCAAATCGAACAGTTGATGGTACATCACTGATTTTTTTTATATTGTGATCTAAATTTTTCATTTAGTCAGGTTGGGAAAAACAAATTCTGACCAAAAATCCAATCACTAGGTCTTTCATTCATCACAAGTCTCAGCAAGAACACAGCACATGCACTAAAGTAAATGATTTCCATCCATCAAAAATTGGTTGGTTAGTATGCCTAACAATTTCCAAAATCGACATTTGACTATGCTCGATGGGGAAGTCTAGGTATAATGAAACAAGGTTTCATGCCAGAAACGAAACCTTTTAAATGGAAATCGTACAATGTATGGCCACCTTAAGGAGTTTGTCCGATTTTTAGATTGTAAGGTTTATGTAGCCAGCTTTACATGTAGTGATAGGCTTCTTGCACCACTACACGTTGAAACCACAAGGTCTTGTTTTGCCCCTGGTTTTCACTGCTCAGATGTAAACAAGCCCTAAGCAAATGTACAAACTGAGATGTATACCTTTTTTTTTATTTGACCTTAATAAATTGGAAGTAGATTACAAATAAACAGCAGGCCCATTTTTTCATTCATCTATTCGTAATCTGTCTTTAAGCTGCCATTTCTTCTTTTGTGCTATGACCTGTGAAAGAGCCTCTAGAATATAGACTGACTAAAAATGTAAGCACTTTCTTAAAACATGTAGTAAAAAGAATAAATATGAAAGGATTACATTTGCTGTGGATTTATTTGTATTCCATCTTTACTGCTTTATGTTTTTCTACTGTCAACTGTGTCTAGAAATAGCCATTTCCCAACGATTGTATGATCATCATGAATAGTTATTGTATATGTAACCAAAGTATGAGATATCTGAAATCCTGATTCTAGCTGTCTGATCACAATCGGAAAAGTCCAAATTCAGTTGTGTGAAAAAGTGTTGGCCCCCTTCCTGATTTTTCATTGTTTTGCACGTTTGTCACACTTTAATGTTTCAGATCATCAAACAAATTTAAATATTAGTCAAAGATAACAGAAGTAAACACAACATGCTGTTCTTAAAGGAAGGTTTTTATTATTAGGGAAAACAAAATCCAAACCCACATGGCCCTGCGTGAAAAAGTGTTTGCCCCCTAAACCTAATAACTGGTTGGGCCACCCTTTGCAGCAAGAACTGCAATCAAGCGTTTGCGATAACTTGCAATGAGTCTGTTACAGTGCTGTGCAGGAATTTTGGTCCACTCATCTTTGCAGAATTGTTGTAATTCAACAACATTGGAAGGTTTTCGAGCATGAACCGCCTTTTTAAGGTCATGCCACAGCATCTTAATAGGATTCAGATCAGGACTTTGACTAGGCCACTCCAAAGTCTTCATTTTGTTTTTCTTCAGCCATTCAGAGGTGGACGTGCTGCTCTTTCTAAGAAATACTGATAACCTGAAGGGGAGTGGAGATGGCTATACTATAGTTTCAGATTTTACATCCGCCTTATGGTTTTTGTTTTCTTAGGACAAGTACACATGGGTATTTTGCGATGACCGCAAAGCTGAACGGGCAGCGTGCGCACACCGGCCCATTCGGCATTTGTCTCCCGAGCATGCCACGAGCCAGCCGAAAATCGTAAGATTTTCGGCTGGTTTTCAGACAAGCACCTTAGACAAAAGACGTGCGACTTCGCACGCCTTCCATACACTTTGCGATTATCGTACGATCGCGGGATTTCCCGCGATTATCGTGCGATAATCGCACAGTGTATGGGCACCTTTTAGAGACTGAACTCGGAAGATGTTAAAGAAGTTAACCCTTGCAGTTGGGCTATTGCTGCACTTTAAGAGTTAAGTGCTGATTTTGGTCTAAAATAACAAAGATCTGTCTTCTATGGGGGAAAAAGGAACAACCTCTAGGAGCACCTCTTTTGTAGCAAGTGTTTCCTGGGCAACAAATTCTTACAAATCTTTGCAGAATGCAACTGATCATGACTTGGATGTAGTAAAGCTCTTCAGCCTAAATATCTAGATGTGGCCAATGTGTTGTATTACTAATACAAGTACTATGACAAAGCAATGACAAACAAATCTACATGGACTATACAGAGCGGAATGTACACCGAAGTCAAACCTTGTTGTGGTTTTGCTATATTTTATGCAATAGGCAACATGTCACAAGTGTCCTGGGTGTATTCCAGTCTGGGGCACTGCCAGCTGCTTTAGTCATAAGGTTAATTAAATATTGCTATCTTTTTTAACCTACTAAAGTGCATTCTTGTATTTTGCAGATAACATTTTTTATTTTTTTAATCTTAACTTTGTCCCTACCCTATGCCAGACACATGGACAGTAGAAGTTTATATATAACAATGTGTATATAGCTGTTCGTTGATTAGCCCTGCTAATATCCCCATCCTTGTAAGTAAATGTGGTTGGTTCACATTTAAATGTAGCAACATACACTGCTTTTTCAATGAACTTTTATATGAAAAGTCAAAATGTTAGATGATGCTATACGTGATTTGGAGAATGTTGTTCAAAACTTCAATTTGATTTTAACATTCAAGTTTGGAATGGAGTTTCTCAATCCAAACCACATTCATTGTTTTGTTTCGACGAGACAAATTTTTCTATCGTGCTCCTTTTGAATTGACCGACGATTTAACCCCATCAACTATTTGAAATTCAAACATTGTTTGGAACAAAATTCTACTGGTGTATAGCGACACTAAACTCAGAAGTTAAATCTTAAAACTGCATTCAAGTACCTTTTTAACTACGAATAAAACTGTATCTTTGTGTATTATGCAGCTGTAGATCCTCAATCATCTCTGAATTGGTGCTGACACTGTCCTTCCTTCTGGAAGGTGGCTACTTTTGTTCCCCATGGTCCCTGTGTGTGTTGTAAGGTAGCCACTGCTCCAAGCTCACCCCCGTAATGGACTAGAATCTCAATACAAATTAGTAAACTAAATGTTACATTGTAGTCCATCCTGGGAGCGAGCTTGGAGTGGTGGCTACTTTACAGCACACACAGACCATAGTAGCCACACTCCAGAAGGAAGGACCGTGCCGGTATGAATTCAGAGATGATTTTAGTGTTGCTTTCGGGGCTCTATTTAACATAGTTTCTAACACAAGAATTGTCTTAAACTGGCTGCGTAGCCTATATTTTAACAAATGGTAACCACTATTTTAAATCATTTTTTACTTCCTGCACTCATAATTTAACAAATGATGGGTCAATTGCAGTACTGTTACTTAAGCTTCACTATCAGTGCTTTGTTAGTGTGTTCGGGGAAAAAAAAACTTTTAGAAACATTTAACATCATACATTTAACATTGCTAGCGATCCTTAACTGATTAAAAAAGACAAAAATAAATAAATATACAGGTGCACATTGGGTGAAAGGAAGGTCTATATTTTACAGATATTTTGCACATTGGGTGAAAGGAAGGTCTGCTGCCAATAGGCCCTCCATAGAGGTTGCAGTATAAAACAAGACGTGTGTCTGTAAGCAGTATAGGCTGATCACATGTTAATTAGACAGATAACAAGCAGTTGCTTTTTAATGCCAGTTACATCTAAAGCAGACTAATTGGTCATTGTCAATCCCAAAAAGATTGTGCATGGCATTATGTAAACGTATCTGATTCATTTACCACTGAGCACAAAATGTAAATTTCTTTGAATACAAGCACCTGATAAGACATTGTGTGTATTGTTATTCTAGAGGAGCCGCTGGCTTTCAGACAGCTGATAAAACAAACTTTAGTGTAATGTGGTATTTGCAGTGGATTCAACAAATGAAACCGTCTATGGCTGACAGTAGCCTTGCTCAATCAAAGCAAGTGGTGCTCTGGATTCCAAGCTTTGCTTGTGATTCTTGGGCTTTTCCTTGTGTGCAACAAGTCCCTTTAGACTTTTGTTGTACATGGATATTTCCTTTGAGAACAAAGCC